TATATCACACCCCCAAACAGGAATGACGGAAACGTTTGGGGGCGGAGGACGTCATGTTTAGTATCACAACACATGTATCATTGTAATCATAGTAATCAAACAACCATTGTATTAATATTAAAGTGTTTACAAAGTAGTGATTCACAAAAGATTGAATCCAAAAGTAAATAACAAAACAAGACATGAAGCCACTATACTTCATCTTCTGAATCCCAACACGCGTACCTGTCTACTAGTTACATGAGAATACAAGTTATTTTGAAAGAGTAGATCACCATTTAAGCTGGTGAGTTCATAAGATTTTAGTGATGTAATGTAAGTTGAAAGTTCTTTTAGAAAAGTTCGCATGTTCCTCCAGAAAATCCTATATTTCCTGATATGATGAAAAGTTAAGTAAAAATGACTCTACAATCCCTTCTATGAGTACTAAACGGATACAAGTTATATAAAATCAAGAGTAAACAAACAATCGATTGTGTGTATCTGCCCCTAAGCCCACAACGAAACAAGGAACAGGAAATGAGGCGGAAGTCACACATCCCATTGTTTGTTAGATCTTCGTTGTATATAACCCTGGCGTATTCACTTGGTACTCACGGAGTTAACTGTAATAGTTCCTTTATATTTGACGAAAACAATCTTTAAGAAAACCCTTATTTCTTTTAGTAAAATGGTAACCACAATAGCTCCTTCTATAATCACTTAGTTATACTAGCCATATATAATCTAATATCGAACGGATAGTTAATTGTGTGAATCTGCCCTAAGCCCACAACCAAACAAGGAACAGGAAATGAGGCGGAAAGCACACATCCAACTATCTATCAGATATTAATTATATACAACCTTGATGTATAAACTAAGGTATTATAGAATTAACCACTAAAGGTCCTTTAAGTTATACTAGTTTAATAAAATGGATTAAACCCTTTACTGGATAAGTTTCTAGTTTTGTCTATCAAATGTTCTATTTGAAAAGTATGTTTTGTACTAGGAAACGATGTATTGAATTTGTATACTATGACCTGACCCATACTTGGTACTCCTTATGATTACTTAGTGCATACGAAATATATATATATATATATATATATATATATATATATATATATATATATAGCTAAGATCGAATAGATAGTAGACTGGGTGAATCTGCTCTAAGCCCCCAACCAAACGAGGAACAGGAAATGAAGCGGAAAGCACACATCCTACTACCTGTCGGATCCGATTAATATATATCCCTGATGTATCTACCGAGGAATCATAAAGTTAGCATTATAGGCCCCCTTCTAACTGAATGTACTAAGACTCGACTGTTCTGTTTGTCCTTTGTAATAATGAAAGTATTCAGTAATTGTTGTAAAAAGTGACTACTGAAGCACTAACTACCTTAAAACCAGTTTGTTAATTAAGGTTAAAATGTGATGTGGTTATAACCATACTGATATGACACGTGATAACACAACGATCTAATGGCGTCGAACTGATGTCATATTTGTCACTCGTAGACTTGCAAGTCCCACTGTAGCTAGCAGCAAGGTGTGGGGTGTCAATCCCGTATAGATCTATACACAAACTCATGCTCTCCCTCCAGGAGACTCTGGTTACAAAACGCGGCCTAACAAGTATATTGCTAAGTCATGAAGTAGTGGTTTCACATTATTATTATAGCATTCTTGTATTTGTATAGTATATTCCTCCCTGTTTCTCTTTATAGTATGTTCCTCCCTATTTCTCTTTATAGTATGTTCCTCCCTGTTTCTCTTTATAGTATGTTTGAACTCCTAAACTATACCTATTACAGGTTACTAGTATGTTTGTTTGAACTGTCTCTGATTTGTAGAAAAGACTCAATTATCTATCGAGTTATGATCGTACTTTAAAAACGGAGTTTTATAAACTATAAAGTAACATAACTTAAAAGAGTTTTTGAAATGATTTGATCACTTATAAAAGCATAAGAAATCCTTTAACGTGATGGTTATCACAGATAAACGTTTACACAATTAACATTGTGTTCAACTTGTATTCCCCCCCCCCCCCCCCTTAAAAGTATTTAAAACATTTAAAAGATTGATTATAGGGGTATGAACTCACCTTATGTGGGTGATTCAATTGCGGATTCGTGTAAGGATGAGAAGTTCCACGAATGAATTCCCGATACACAAACGAATCCTAAATGACATATAATGACATATATAGGCATGTAATTAGTGTTTTACACAACTAACATGCAAGGAAACACCCTTAGGGACTAGGAAGCACTTGCTAGAAAGTGTTACAATCACATGTGATTGACTACAAGTGGTTTACGGCCACACAAGAGAGTGTACGGACAAGGGGTGTACGATCATGGAGTGTACGGCCGTACACTCATGGAAGAAGCATGCAAAAGAGGTGTTTACGGCCCTATCTAGCATCCATTAAGTGTTCACGATCCTATGTTGGGACATGAGATGAGTTTGCGGCCAAAACATGCACCAAACAAGGGTTTACGGCCATGCCAGGGTGTACGGCCGTACACTCTTGTTGTTCATGCTAAAATGGTTGTTTCTAGGGTGTTAATCAAGAGTTTCTAATGTATACTAAGTATATGGAAAGGATACTTACGATTTGGAAGCTTGAATGGGGTTCATGGCCACCAAGAACTAGTGTGTGTTCTTGGTGAAATGGATGAAGGTTTGAAGATCTATCATAAAGAGATGTTTTCATGGATGAATCATGAGATGTTTACAAAACTAAGGAGGATATCAAGAAAGATGGAAGAATCACTTACCACTTTTAAAGATTAGAAGGAGTGTTCTTGATGATAGTTGAGAGAGATTGGAAGTTCTTGAGGTGAAAGTGTAAGAAATGAAGAGAAATGAAGGAATACCCTACATAAGGGCATGAGTTCACGACCACCTTGAGTGTACGGCCGTACACTCCTCTTGATGGAGTGTTTGGCTCGAATGTAACACGATGATCCTAAGTTAACACTTCATGACACTAAATCCTTATGTGCACTAGGCTTAGAACCCATTAAATGATCCTTAACAATGCTAAAAGGTAGCAGAAACGAGTCTGACTCTTGATTGATTGGCTGGACTTACAAGATAAAAAATTTCTGGTTGTCACAGTTTATTTCGTTCAATGCTAAATGTTTACCTATGTGTGCATTCATAACATGATTTCAGGAAAGAAGTTTGAAATGATTAAATGAGTAAATGAGTTAAAGAGATTTGAAAAAGGTTTTTGAAAAGAGTTTGAATGATTTTAAAGAGTTTTGTCATGAATCCATATTCATTAATGTAAGTTTGGTAAAATACTAGTGTGTCCCTCCAAAGTCTATGCAAAAGGTGTTAACGTGACCTAAGGTGTAGTGTGGTATTCTAGACATGTCCACTTGTACAAGATGCTAGCTACCTCTTGTATGAGACCGGTGAATTGATAGCCCACTTATACCCATTAATAGACTAAGGTGAAATGTGGGAATTCGTGACATAGGGTGCTATGTGCTAAATATGTCATAGTCTTTATTACTATCAAAAGGTGAAACTGTGAGAAAGACAAAGATAGGAACGGGGATGGGTATAGATTGCATAATGCATTGCATTATCTCATTTTATGATGATTATATGTATTTATACATTTTGTGAATTTTAAGGTGAAATGAGTAAAAGAGTTTAACTAAGAGTTTTATACTTTACAAGTATTTTAAAAGAGGAAAATAAAGAGATTTACCAAAGAGGTTTATTTATAATTAAGAGTTTAATCGTTTCAAAAAGAAAAAAGAGTAATGAGTTATTTCTAAGAGTTTTGAAATATCAAAGTAATTAAAATTTCCAATCAAAGAATTAAGATTTAGGATAAACTTTACTAAAGAGTTAAAGGATTAATTTCATAAAGTTTTCTAAAGAGTAAACGATGAAGGTTTTATTTAAAGAAAAGAGTTGAATGTTTTCAAATGAGTTTTCAATAGATTATAGGGGATACATCATAGGTCAGTGAATGAGTCATATCTTGACTACAAACATGACGAAATTCCAATAATACTCACTAGCATTCCTAATGCCTAACCTACGATTTTGACATATATTCAAGTGCGAGTAGAGAACGAGACTTAGAGGGTTCGAAATATTTTGAAGGCAAGTAGTGATATCTTATCTTATGTAATGATATTTAAATTGATAACCCTCCTCTAAAACATTTTTAAAGAACTAAAACCGTTTTGTTAAGACTTTTGGAGACTTTTGGGACCATATTTCCGCAAACGATGATTTTTACTTTAAAAAGTAATTTAAATGGTTTTAAAAATATAAAACCCAAAGATGGTTGTTTCAAGTGTCATTTACCATTTGTCATGAGCTCTTTTGGCCATCATTTTATACGAGATGGACATACGATTAATAGGGCAAAAGTTGACGGTGTCATCTGCCATGAGCCCTATATATTCTTTCATCGGTGGTGAGTTGGCTTTATGAGATTGACAATGGATGAGAATAATTGCATGCATTATGTCTTATATATGTTATAACATTTGTTTACCCCTTTAATGAGAATTTGTAGGACTTATGCGCCCTTTTTGGAGATATTATTGATGAAGTAGATCTTTCGGGAATATTAGACCCCCCTTTGTTTCATGTGTGCGTGTGTATGTGTGTTTTTTTTTTATCATTTTCGGATGTTTGATTCTATAAAAGTTGGATTGACATTCCTTACTTAAATGAATCAACCTCAGGTAACTCATTAGACAACATCATTGTCTAACTTATTTTAATATGTGTTCAGATTGAAGGATTTTGAGTATTTGAGGTGCAAAATATTTAGAAGACCCCACTTTGTGGGGAGCTTGGGTCTTTGTTTTGATACGTATCGACACCTCAAGTTTTTTTTTTTAAAAAAACAACGAAACATTTTAAGCTGTTTTGGGACCGATATTTCTGCAATCATTTTAAACTTTTAAATTTTAATGAACTTTGAATTAAAATATGTAAATTGATATTTGAAATGACCCGATGATGGGTGTTATAATATATTCGCTCTACAACGGAACACACGTCTCTAGAACCTCCAACCATCCACAACGCCAATCAAAACCCCTATACCGTGAAGAACAAAGACTATCATACAACTATACTTATTCTTCATTATCATATCCAAAGCAAAACCATAACTACAACCAACCATATAGCCACACACAATTAGACGATACGTAAGAAAACAATGACGATCGGATCACGATTATTAGACACTCCACATGACATAAAGTTCTCGATTATTAGACACTCTATATGACATAAAGTTCTCAGCTTGTGACGAGTTGACAAAAAAATATTCTTGTTTATATAAAGATATACAAGAATAGTCTTTTGGAAACTTGTTTATAAGATCAATACACTATTTATTATTATTTATGAAAAGAATAAATACATGAAGTAACGCAACATTTTATGAAAAGATGCATAAAAATGGCAAAACTCGGTTATGATATTAGGCAGAAGGGTATTTAAGTAATACGACACATAAAACCTGGTTGTTAAACCATGGTTAAGCAGTGGCAACTAACCGCGGTTAAGTGGTGGCAACTTTATCCTCTTTCTCTCTCTACAATGTCATTAACCCTCTCCTCAAACCCAAAATTCTCTCTCGCCTCTCTCGTTTCCATCTAACGCCGGAAAATATCTCTCATCGCCGTTCAACGTCAGCGGTTACATCCGTCATCGACAACAACCGTTTTCCGAACCTCGTTTCACAGTAAGGTTTGTCATGATTCAAGTTCTCTCTCCATATCTCTCCTCCTATATCTGATATTCTGATCTGTTATTGATTTTTTTAAATTTCAATCCGGTGCTCCGTTTACTTGCATATTGTTGCTGTTTGATTCTGTTTTTCAGTTGTTAGCAAATCATCATTTTCATTTTTGGAGGGAATTGCTAATCGAAAAGTTTGTTAGTAGATCGGTGTTTGTGTTTTGAATTATTATCGCAGGCAAGGAGGTTTTGCCTATTTAGTAACTGTTTTAAATTCGATTTCAACAAAAGCTAAGAGCAAAACTACAAGAATAACTGTAGCCTATTATGGTTGAATACTCCGTTCAATCAAATCAAACGTGTTTCTGTGTGTTTTGTACTTTGAATACATAATCATACCATTCCATTTTAATGGTTCTGGAAAATCTGTGACTAGTTATCTAGAAACAGTAAGATTTATATTGTTTTGGGGTGTACTTGTAGGATTCTGATGAGTTGAAACCAGTCTACAGCTTTGCAATTGATATTATTGGTTCAGTGAAGAACAATTTGTACTTTCTGTTTTGTTTTTGTACTCTAGTTGACATTAATACTGCTCCCATGTCCCATCTTTTCTTAAGATTTGAATGTTCTGAGTTTTGACTTATAATCTGGAAAGAACAAAAATCATTAAGCTTAATGAAGAATAATCCGTAGCTTCTATATGTGAAATCTTGATGTCAACTTCTTTTGCAAATTTAGGTTCACATTGTTCTACATTGCAGCAGATATCAAGTCAAATATATCCAACCATTTTCTTTCAGATTTTTATCCTATGTAAAATTTGAAGTCTGCAACCCATCTGCTTGACATTAAAACTGAAATTGTTGCTGTTTTTCTTCATTTTTTGTAGTACAGAGAGCATATTTTCTGGTAACAATTAGGGGAAATGTTGATAATTACATGATAAACTTTCTTCCTATTGCAATTTGCAACACACATTTTGCTTCATAATTGATTGTTTCTGAATGTATTTACACCTCATGATCATAACTTCATTTTATAGTCAACAACAATTGCCCATTTTACCCTTTTACAGTATCATTCTTCTGTTATATGTTTTGCAGGATCATTGTACCAGATAAACAACAAAACTGTATGATCAAGTAATAATGGCATCAAAATCATCTTCAAACATTTTGGATTTGGTTCCTGATAATCTACTAGACATGCCTCAAACACCCAGGGGTCTTCCACGTGTCATAACTGGAATCATCAATGATCAAGATGGTGATTCAGATATCTCATCTAATTATCGTGAAAGAAAAATCATAGTCTCAAATATGCTACCATTACACATCCAACGAGACCCAGATACCCTAAAGTTAACCTTCAGTTTCGATGAAGACTCCTTATATTACCAACTAAAAGACGGATTTACCCCTGAGACTGAGATTATTTACGTGGGTTCACTCAAGGTCGAAGTAGACATTAGTGAGCAAGAAGAAGTCGCTCAAAAACTACTCGATGAATTCAACTGTGTCCCCACTTTTCTCCCTCACGACCTTAACAAAAAATTCTACTCTGGTTTCTGTAAACAACAACTATGGCCACTTTTTCACTACATGCTGCCCATCTGCCCGGATCATGCTGACCGATTTGACCGAGTTCTTTGGCAAGCTTACGTGTCAGCAAACAAGATTTTTGCAGATAAAGTCATGGAAATTGCAGATCCGGAATACGATTACATCTGGATTCATGATTATCATCTCATGATCTTACCAACATTTTTAAGAAAACGTTACAATCGAGTGAAATTAGGGTTTTTCCTCCATAGCCCTTTTCCCTCTTCTGAAATCTACAGAACTTTACCTGTGAGAGATGAAATTCTCAAAGGACTTCTCAATTCCGACTTAATCGGATTCCATACTTTCGATTACGCTCGTCATTTCCTTTCCTGTTGCAGTCGAATGATGGGATTGGATTACGAATCCAAACGTGGACATATCGGACTCGATTACTTTGGTCGAACAGTTTACATCAAGATTCTCCCCGTTGGAATCCACATGGGGAGATTGGAATCGGTTTTGAATCTTCCAATTACGTTACAAAAAGTCAAAGAAATCGCAGAGCGTTACAAGGGTAAAAAGGTAATTGTCGGGATTGACGACATGGATATCTTCAAAGGGATAAGTCTCAAGCTCCTCGCGTTTGAATACCTCTTAAATCACCATCCTGTTCTTCAAGGTAACATCGTTCTAATCCAAATCGTGAATCCGGAAAGAAGTTCAGGAAAAGACGTACAAGAAGCGAAACGTGAAACGTATTTGATTGTAAACCGGATCAATGAACGATTCGGGTCGCCCGATTACAAACCCGTGGTTCTAATTGACCGACCCGTTGCCCGTTGGGAAAAATCCGCTTACTATTCAATGGCGGATTGTTGCATAGTCAACGCAGTTCGTGACGGAATGAATCTAGTCCCGTATAAATACATCGTCTGCCGACAACATTCCCCATATTTCGATGAAATTAAGGAACATGAAAAACCTCGTACAAGTATGTTAGTTGTCTCTGAGTTTATCGGGTGTTCCCCGTCTCTAAGTGGGGCAATCCGGGTCAACCCGTGGGACATCGAATCAGTTGCCGGAGCTATAACTTCTGCCATAACAATGAAAGAACCCGAAAAGCAATTGCGACACGAAAAACATTATCGTTACGTCAGCTCACATGACGTGTCATATTGGGGTCGTAGTTTCATGCAAGATTTAGAAAGAGCTTCGAAAGATCATTATAACAAACGGTGTTGGGGAATCGGGTTTGGACTCGGGTTTCGGGTCGTTTCTCTTTCTCCTAGTTTTAGAAAACTATCTCCTAATTACATCGTTTCCGCGTATAAAAAATCCAGCAGAAGGGCGATCTTTTTGGATTACGACGGAACCCTAGTTTCTCAATCGGCGATTGTAAAATCCCCCGGCGATGAAATCATAAATATTTTGAGTATTTTATGTAACGATTTAAAGAACACGGTGTTTATCGTTAGTGGAAGAGGGAGAAAATCGTTGGCTGAGTGGCTTGCGCCGTGTGAGCGGCTAGGGTTAGCCGCCGAACATGGGTATTTCACAAGGTAATTTAAAATCTTAAATGTTAAATTTAATTTATTTATATAAAGTTTTGGGATTATTTAATTTATCTTTATTATTATTTTATTCGGAAGGTGGAGTAGGGGTTGTGAGTGGGAATCTAGCCTTCCGTGTACAGATCTTGAATGGATAGAGGTGGCTGAACCGGTGATGAGACAGTATACAGAAGCAACCGACGGTTCAAATATTGAAATTAAAGAATCCGGTTTAGTTTGGCACCACCAAGACGCCGACCCGGATTTCGGTTCTTGCCAAGCAAAAGAGCTATTAATCCATTTGGAAAACGTGCTTGCTAATGAACCGGCTGTGGTCAAACGTGGTCAACACATAGTTGAAGTTAAACCACAGGTGAAAATCAAAATCACAATTATGATTTATGAGATCCCATTTTTTTTCATGTTGAAAAGATGAGGGGGTGAATTTGAACATTTTTTATTTTGCAGGGGGTGACGAAGGGACTAGTGGCGGAGAAAATTCTATCAACAATGGTGGAGAAAGGAGAAAGGCCGGATTTCGTGATGTGTATTGGGGATGATCGATCAGATGAAGATATGTTTGAAAGTATTAGAAATACGGTTTTGAATGCTTCGTTGAGTTGCGTGACTCCCGAAATATTCGCGTGTACGGTTGGACGGAAACCTAGTAAGGCCAAATATTATTTGGATGATACCGCGGATGTTATAAAGTTGTTGGCTGGCCTTGCAAATGCTTCGGATCCAAAACCCGGGAGTATCCCACGTTTTCAGGTTACCTTTGATGCTCTTTTTTGAAATATTGCCACGTGTACAGTTTAAAAAAAAAAAAACTTTTAGGGTTTAGGATTGAATATTGATCTTTGACGTGGTCTGGACTCTGTGTGCATATGCTGAATTGGGTTTGGGTTTTTCTATTTAGTGATGGGCCTTGAAGTAACACAAGGCTCATTTTTTTTAATTATTTTTTTTTATTAATTATGTATAGTTAATACTTAATAGTTACGCTTTTGGTTTTATGAAAGCTTACTTTTATGAGATATGTTTTATGCTTTGATACTATGGATGAAAAAGGTTTGAAAATGAAAAGGGTTATCCACTATAGAATTTCCAAAAGCTAAATAAATGTGACACGTATCTTGTATTTGAAGATTTAAAGCATCAACTCCCACAAGGCCACAAGTTGTTAACAAGGGAATCCAATATATTTATTTCCCAATCTGGTAGGTGGTTTCCAACTTTCCATGTCAAACTGTGGTACAAATGTGATTGCGTGACTTACAACTCGTTATAGTATATCAAATATTGAAATTGTAAAACCAATAAATTAGACATGCAATATGCAAATATGTAATTTTATTAAGTATGATTAGGTTCTAACACTTTGGGTTACTTTTAGACATGGGCATGATATGAATATTGACCATAGTTCTTTCAATTCTTATTTCCTATAAAGGAGCAATCATCTATCTTTTTCATCATGCACATTCCCAAAAGCTTCTTCTAGTTAAGAAATAATGAGTGCGAGGAATATACTTGAATTATTGTTGAAGAAGTAGTACTTTTTTTAAAGTTTTGTTGGAAATCATTTATTGTATTTATTGAAATACAAAGAAGTAGAACCACCATCAATGTGAAATCAAATGGTATGAAACACCACACTTGATTGGTATTTGATCCCATAGACTTCAACATTGGTTTGATCTAACTTTGAAAAAGAACAAAGGATTTGTTTTTTTGGATCATTTATATCTTAATTATACTTTTAATCGACCGATAAAAGTTTTTCGAGTTCTCATCACACCATTGGTATAGATTTCAACCGGATGATTATACAATATTGCATGCCAAACGGATGTCATGTCTATGACAACAGGTACACATGTGAACAAATTATGCTAATTGGATACCATGTTGGTCACCATGTATGATTTAGTATCGGTTTACTACATCGGGTTTACTACATCACAGTAGAAACAAAACCGTTCCAAACATATTGTGGGTCCAGAGAGAAGAAAAAAGACTCTTAAAATACACAAATTTCATTAATTTTTTTTTATAACAACTCAATAATCGAAAGAAAACTATTTATACCAACTTCTAAATATATGGATTACGAAATTCCATATATTTAAAGAAAATACTTCTTCTAGCTTTTTGAGATTACAAAAATTATTAATGATATCTTCAAGATCGATCTTGTCTAACATATCATTAATAAAGTCCATAAAATTTTTGGACACCTTTAAAAGATGGGTCATGGATAGCTACCCTTATCGCTCACCCTTTGGGATGAGCTTGAGTAGAAAACCGCACAATTTTATCATTGCTGGAAAAAAAAATCGTAAAATTGTACATCACAGTTTAAAATTACAAAACCATTTGAGTTGTAGTGACTTGGTTAGACATATGAAAAATATGGTGGATAACCTATTGATCAATGTTTAAATCCTGACAGGCCGACACTATTCAGCTTCTGTGGTTATGAAGGTTCGCCTGCCGTGACTCTAGAGCATGAGTCATAGCCTCATGTTCGCAATGGAAGATTAGTCGGTGCACGAAAACTGACCCGAAAACTCTCGTTAGGGAAGTTTTATTTTCAAAAAAAAAATTATAAAAACCATGCAGTTTACGGTTTGATTTTGGCCTAAAACTTCGCTATGTTCACACTCATTCGATTATTACATGCATCCTTTGAATTCGTAAAATACGAAAAATTATATTGCAGCAGTGCTTTTACTTTATATTTCATTTCATGGAGCACACTTTAATTGAATGGACCAATGTCTTTCATGCTCAAATTTTTTTCAGCCATCGATGGTGATATATCATACTTTTGTAATACAAGAAGTTTGTCTTTTTTTTGGCTAATAACGAAAATACTAAAAATAGAAAGATAATATTAAAAGAATAAGAAAAGTTGAAAAAAAAACAATGTATTATCTCATAATACTTAAAAAAAAATTAGTGTTTTACGTTTAGATAATACAATAAAATTAGTTGCATTGCATACCATACGATAGAACCCAAATAATTACGTATCATTGTTTGTTTTTAGATACTAGATCTGAAATTCATGTATTACACAAGTTGATTTAAAAAAAAGTTATATATAAAGATATAAACATTAAGTATTTTTTTAAAGAAAACGTTAAATATCAAGGTGTAAACAATAAGTATTTTTTAAAGTAAAATTTCAAAATATATACAAAATGATAAATAAATAAATAATTCAGTGTATACTAATAAAAAAAACAACGGATAAATTAGTATATTTTGGCCATATAACTTTTTTTTAGTTTATCAATGAAAAACAACAAAATTTGATTATTTTTCCTATGTAATCCATTTTACTTAAAATGACAATGAACTTTGAAAGAAACATGTCAATTTTGAATTATATACATTGAAGAAAACATATTAAAATTTAAAAATATAAGGAAACAAATTAATAACATATTAATTACTTTCTATAACCTAAAAATTAGAATAGTTAATTAAGAAAATTGAAAATTATCACGAAATGACTATTAGAAATTAATTTCTAAGAAGTAACCACAAAATTATATGTATCAAAATGCATGAGAATGTGACAAGTGACAAAAATGATTTTTATTTATTAGAGTAGATTATAATTGCTATTATAAAAAAAGTCACCATTTTTTTGTATTATTTGACTGTAAATCATTAATTCAAATAAAATCATAAAATATAATGTTTTTTAAACATTGAGTAATAATATTTTGTTTTTTTCAGAGTTTATTCCTTTAGAAAATCGATCATTTTTGGATTATCTGAAAGAAATGATTATATGTTTTTCATAAAGTATTTAATGGCTTTTAAACGAATAAAAGAATTGTGCATGATTCCCACGTATATAAACTTACTAGATGAATATTCACACATTGCATAACTTAAAAATACATAGTTAAAATTTAAAAAATAGATATTATTGAAAATTACTATGTAATTGGCATCAACTATAGCATAATAATTCTTATCTTAATATGATATATAAAATAGTAACTATTTTGAACAATATGATAAGATAAATATTTATTATAATCACTCAATGGTCTCTACCCATGACTATAAAACTATTGGATTATAAGGGATCTAAAAGGCCACAAAGGCGCACATCGAAAGCAATAAAAACAATAACCTCATAAACCAAAACATATCAATGTTCAACCAGATCTAATGCAACTAAATAAACAATAAGAAACACAAGAAAACATAACCTTGTAGTCCTTTGAAATCTCCTCTTGGTCTTGATGGAAGGAGAATGCTAAGAAGCCACATAGAGCTCCTCTTTCGCAGTCATACCCAAGGAACATATCAGCAACATTTGACACCAACCTAACCAGTGAACACCTTAAACGGTAAGCATAAAACGAATATGTCGACAAAGCACTATGCATAAGTAATAGGGCACGCCACATCATTCGTGTTTTCTTAGGGTTTCAAGAATGAGAGGAGGTTGTCGAATTTTAGGCTAGGGTTTGTGAAAAAGTTATTAGTGAAATCCGCCCATAGACCCCTCTATTTATAAGAAGGATTTTTGAACTCACAGGGATAATTACTTGGTCAATAAGTAATTACCATAAGTTTAATAATTATCCTAAAATATTTGAATTTCAAATCTTTACACTTTAAACCCCTTAAGTCTATAAGTTTCTTATTAATTAATTAAACCCTTAATTAATTAACAAACTATACCCCAATAAAACTCTTGTGTCATTTATTGCTAATATTTGTCATTGAGTGTAACCCTAAATATCCTACTATTAATACTAGTATTACCAACTATTATGGTTCTGGGCACTATCTTCCAACAACTTACACTTGCACAAGTAACCAGCACTATGTGGTCCAATATTCACTACTAATAAGTATAGAGTGTCATCCATCGCACCTTCCTATACACCCCTTAGATAATTGATCAAATATTAGTTTGATCTTCATGATATCTATGTGAATGTGAGATATGGAGATATGTCAATCTCGAACGTTCAAGTTATGTTTCTCGGTAGAGAATTATGTCAACCATAACAAACTACACAATTGATCTGTTATCAATTAAATCTGAGCACGATCATGCATTTTGATGTCAACGCTAAATCATCAAGGGGCCTAAAGATATCATTTTCCCTTGTTAAGGAATAAGCACTGCCAATTATGAACAACCTAAGAGAGAAACCAATACATAACCTATTATAGGACAAAACCTTATGCATCTTTGTTTGAAATATATATGATATTACCATCTTAGAATTACTTGTGAAAGAATCCATGAAGTAATCTCTAAGTGCAGTTTACTCCGATACCTAAAATCTCCATTTAAGTACTCATGCACATTGGACACAATCTTCCAATATGTCCATCTCCATGGACAATCTACTAATGATCAATGAAAATCTTAAATCACTACTTACTTGCAGAAGTAGGACCGACTGTGGATGTTTGATCTCTAGAAATGGGTCAAAACATGCAAAGAGGAACATAATGATAAACTAATGAAATGAATGATCTCTATCATATATTAAGATCTCCACTTAATAATCACCAAATCAAATAAAGATTTATATTGCTTAAGTTCCCAAATCTAAACAAACTAAATTAATTGCGCTCAAGCGAATTCATTTGCAAATTTAATGCCTTTTGGCCTTATGTTACTATCATACTTGGTTAATGACATTAGCTTAGGGAATGAATCGACTAGAATTTCTTTCGATATGACTCCATTAACTATGATGTTTTCGCATTCGACTAACTATCAAATGTGTTGTGCTTATTAAGTATACATCATGTGACTTAGGTTCCTCACTAAGGTAAACTCACCCTTATAGTCACAAGAAAGTTCAAAAGGACCATCAATGATTGAATTCAACACTAAAGCCACTAGTGAATCTCTTTTAGCCACACAGTTTTTCTTTGCAATCTTACTAGCTGCAATATACTCTAAGTTTTTCTTGTTAAATCTAGTATGGTGTAAGAGCACAAACTCCGAATATGAAAAAAATCGTCTCCATTAATGTGGAACTTATCATCTGTGCAACTTTTATATTTATCTCTTCCATACTAACAAGAGAATCTCCTATGTCCTCCTAGGACCTTAGGAATGTTCTTGATTGCGATTCTTCGATTCTCGCCAAAT